ACCCTTTTTCTGAAGAAGGGTCCTGACCCGAAACGTCAGCTTTCCTGCTCTTCTGGTGCTGCCTGGCCTGCTGTGTTCCTCTCTTGTATCAAAAACAAAGTTGCTGGAGAAGCTCAGCAGGTTTGGCAGCATCTGTGAAGGAAAAACAGAGTTAACATTTTGGGTCCAGTGACCCTTCCTCAGAACTGAAATGTATACTGAGATTTTTTTCTACCTTAAAGGCGTTACATAAATCACATATTTGTAATTATAATTGGAAGATTGTCATTTGTAAAATTATAAACCACAAATTATCCAAACACTTTTGCCACTAGAAACAGCAAGTACGAGAGACCTTTCCATTGTATTGTGAGGTTGGCTAAACAATAAAACAAATTAATTCTCAGAAATATAATTCACTCAGAAATCTGCTCAGAGTGGAATTATATTTGCAAGAAACTGGAATTTGCAGAGACCAGAAACACATTTATATTCACAGGAATCTGTCAACAAATACACTGAGATTGCCAGATATCTGCAGAGACCAGGATTACACTGGGATTGATCGGAAACTGCGAGGTCTAGGATCACACTGGGTTTGACTGGAATCTGCAGAGACCAACCAGGATCAGAGTGGGCTTGAATGGAATCTGCAGGGACCAACATTAGGGTGGGATTGACTGGAATCTGTGGGGACTTTTTTTTATAACAAAAATATGCTTTATTCATAAAATATCTTTACATGCATACATAGTCACTTAAGCAGTTTGGTTCTGTATAATAGCATTTGAAGAAAAAAACAAACATTGGAGTTTGACCCTATCTGGCAAACAAACCAAAGGCATTTCTTAATCGTACAAGACTATATTTACATATAATTGAGGCACCAGGAGGGTCTGATAACTGAATGGACCCCCATTTAACTTCAGCAGAAAGACCTTAGATGGTGGTCTTTCCCCACTACACCTTGGTGACAGCTGCCCCAAGCTTTAGTGCCTCCCTCAGCACGTAGTCCTGGAACTTGGAATGTGCCAGAAAGCAACACTCGGTCAAGGTCAACTCCTTGCTCTGGAAGGCCAACCACTGAGTTGATGGTCCTCCAGGTGTCAATGTTTGTCTCAGTATGTGTCCCAGAGAACAGCTGTAGAGCACAGAGTCCTGGAGCTACTTGGGATGAACCATGACAAAAACCATGGCGTCTCCCTTCAGACCTTCTTTGCAAAGCTACATTCTAGCAGGGAATGCGTGACAGTCTCTAAACCCCTACACAGTTGCTCCGAGGGCAGTGTGCAGTCTGCAGTGAATCTGGGCATACATGAAGGATCTCACAGGTACTGCACTTCTCACCACCAGCCAAGCGATGTCTTGGTGCTTGTTGGAAAGTTCTGGTGATGAGGCATTTTGCCAAATGACTTTGACAGTCTGCTCAGGGAACAACCCGATAGGATCCACCCTCTCCTTCTTTCACAGCGTCTTGAGGATGCCATGCGCTGACAATTTCCGGATGGACTTGTGGTGAAAGATGTTTTTCTTTGCAAATTTCTCCATAAAGGACAGGTGATAAGGAACGTTCCAATTACCTGGAGTGTTCCCAGTTGCTGAGGCCAGTCCCATTCTTCGCAACACCTGGGAGGGGACCGGAGCTTTGCGGGGGGAGGGGGCAAGTAGAACCATAGTACATAGTGACACTTGATGTTTGTGTACTGAGGGCTTATGCTCAGCTTGATGCAGTCGCACAACACCCACCCCCCACCCCTCACCTTATCCAGAACTTTGTACATGGTGCCCCTGCTGACACCATGCATCTTAGACCTCCAGATGAAGTGGATGATGGCTTGGGTGACTACAACAACACAGATTCTGGGAATAGGGCAGACCTGCACCACGCACATCAGAGTACATCACACCTGATGAGCAGGTTTTTGCCCATAGTGGAGAGGGAGCGGTGCTACCAAAGGCCCGGTTTCTGCCTCACTTTGGTGATGAACTCTTCCCAAGCTTTTGTGCATGCCCTGCCCTCTCTAAAGCATATTCCCAGCACCTTCAGGTAATCTGTCCTGGCAGTGAAGGGGATAAAGAATCAGACAGTCCAGTTCCTAAAGAACATGGACTGACACTTGCACTGATTTACCTTGGCTCCTGAGGCCAGTCTGAACTGGTCACATCTATTCACGAATCTGCACACTGACATTGGATCCGAGCAGATAACAGTGATATTAGCCATGAACAGGGAGGCTTTGACCTGCAGACCTCTACTGCCTGGAATTGTCACCTCCCTCAGGCTTGCATCTTTCCTGATAGACTCAGCATACACAAACAAGGCAAGACAGAGAGTGGCAGCCCTGTCCGACACCAGGTCTGATTAGGAGGTTTTCCAATTCCCACCCAGTGATTGAGACTGCACGATGTAGAAACATGGAAACATAAAAGATAGGAGCAGGAGGAGGCCATTCAGCCATTCGAGCCATTCTTCATGATCATGGCTGATCATCCAACTCAATAGCCTAATCCTACTTTCTCCCCATAACCTTTGATCCCATTCGCCCCAAATGTTATATCTAGTCATCTGTTGAATACATTCAATGTGTTGGCATCAACTACTTCGTGTGGTAATGAATTCCACAGGCTCACCCCTCTTGGGGTGAAGAAATGTCTCCTCATCTGTGTCCTAAATCGTCTACCCCAAATCCTCATACCGTGACCCTTGGCTCTGGACACACCCACCATCGGGAACATCCTCCCTGCATCTACCCTGTCCAGTCCTGTTAGAATTTTATAAGTCTTTATGAGATCCCCCCTCATTCATCTGAACTCTAGTGAAAACAATCCCAACCTAGTCAATCTCTCCTCATACATCAGACCTGCCATCCCTGGAATCAGCCTGATAAACCTTCACTGCACTCCCTCGAGAGCAAGAGCATCCTTTCTCTGAAAAGGAGACCAAAATTGCACACAATATTCCAGGTGTGGCCTCACAAAGGCTCTGTATAACTGCAACAACACATCCCTGCTCCTGTACTCGAAACCTCTCGCAATGAAGGCCAATACATGTACTATTACTACTGATGTTTGTTTAAAGCAGTTGGATCCAGTTGCAGATTCTTTCCCCAAAGCCCATTTTGGTGAGCATGTCTCACGTGCAGGTGTGTGATATCCTGTCAAAGGCCTTCTCCTGGTCCAGGCTGATGAGGCAGGCATCCATCCCCCTATCCTGCACGTAGGCAATTGTATCCCTGAGGAGCATGAGGCTCTCAGTCCTGCCTACTACAGCACAGGTTTAGTTGGGGTGAATCACTGATCCCAGAGCAGATCTGACCTAATTGACAATGACCTTAGACAGGGTTTTACAATCCACATTTAACAGTGAAATTGGTCACCGATTTCTAATTTCACCCATCTCTCCCATCTACTTGTAGATGAGGGTGATGATACTTTCGTCATGCATTTGCACATGCTACCTGTCAGAAGCATACGTCATATACCTCCGGCAGGTCCTGGCCTATCAAGTCCCACAGAACTGGACACAACTCAGCCGGTAAGCTGTCACTTCCAGGAGTTTTATTCCTTTCTAAGGACTCAAGGGCCTTTGTCAGCTCATCCAGACATAATGGCTGTCCCAACCTCTCCCATGTGCTGTTGTCTAAGAATCGGTGATAGAGGACAGGAATGGCTGGGAGGCCGCACTGTCTGTGGGCTTTGTCTCACACAGTCTGGCATAAAAGGATTTGCAGATCCTCAGGATATCAGACTGAGATGTCATTACTGAACCATCTTCTTCCTTCAGGCTGTGAGCACAGAGCTTGTCTTGTGGACCTTCCTGGAAGAAGAAACGCAAGCACATCTCGTCCTACTCCACAGTGCTGACCCTGGACCAGAAGATTATCTTGGAAACATCTGAGGCTTGCTGGCTCTTCACCTCCTGGAGATCCTCTATGATGTTGACCATCGTCATCTGCAGGAGTAGATTCTGCATGCTTTTCTGGAGTTTGGACAGTTTTCCCCTGTCTCAGTCCCCTTCAGGACACCTTTGAGAATGTTCCCCTTGACTGTTTCCCACCAGTCTGCTAGAGACCCCAAGAAGGGCTTCGTGGTTCTCCGACCTGCGTAATCCCTTTTGACTTGAATGTGCAGACCAAGATCACACTGAGATCGATTGCAAACTGCAAGACCAGTATCAGACTGGGATTGTCTGAGATCTGCAGGGACCAGGGTCGCAGTGGGATTGGCTATTCATCAAGACCATCAGTGATCCTCCAGGGTCCAGTCTTCATGCTGCGATCCATTTGGGCGGGCCGGTTCCGCCCCTTGTGCCCTTCCCTGCTCTGCGATTGGTGAAGGCCTGAAATCAAATTTGCATCGTGGAATGTGATTGGTTTGTGGCTGTGATTGACAGGGATCCGGGAGGGTCGGAACGGAGCCGGCGTCAAACAAAAATTGGGCAAAACCGGGAGAATGAAGGTGAACGATCAATGAAAAGACAGTTTCAAGATCATCAGGACACGGGCGCTCAATACGCTTTAAATGTATTTGTAGGGCAGGAGTTCGGCGAAGAGACGGTGACTCCTGAGTTTTACAATTGCAGTAATTTTATTTTTACAATAAAAAGACATTCCCAGATAACAGGAGAGGGGCGATAGTTCTGCCTTCCCTCTGATATTTTCCTGAAATATCTGAAAGTGAACGGACGGGAGTTTTGGGGGAAAAAAAAGTTTTTCTCTTTTTAAGTTCGGTAGAAGCTTTGAATTGGTAATTGGAAAATACCTTTGGTAGGGGAGAGGAAGGAAAAAGAAACCTTGTTTAAACAGAAAGCAGGAGGATTCGCTGCGGAATTTGGAGCGAGTTGTATAATCCTCACACAGGGGTTAAAAAAGAAAGAGGGTAAAACTCAGCGCTTTATGTGGTGAAGAAAATAAAAGAAGAGTTGGAAAGCGAACCCCATCGTAGCGGAATTGGCCAGGAGTTGTGCAAACATTTCCAAAGCTGCACAATGGCCGGATTGTACAACCCGACCCTGAAGACGCTTGAAGATCTGACACTGGACTCAGGCTATGGAGCTGGGGATTCCTGCAGGTCGCTCAGTCTCTCCTCTTCCCGATCCAACTCGCAGGCCCTGCAGTCAGCTCACCGCGGGAACTGGTGGTACCTGTCCGGATCCATGAACAGCCGCAACAACAGCTGGGACACTGTCAACACGGTGCTGCCCGAAGAGCCGGAGCTCGGCGACATCTTCTCCAAATGTCCCCGGCTCCCGGAGCTGGAGGAGTTCCCCTGGACCGAGGAGGACGTGGGCAAGCTGCTGCGGAAAGGGCGAGCCGCCGGGGAGAGTGGCAAACTCTTCTCGCTGGAAGCCGTCAGGCGCCTGTCGCTGTTGCTCAGGAGGGCTCTTCTCCGGGTCTCCAGGGAAGCCCAGAGGCTCAGTGTCGTCCACTGCAAATGCACCAAGTTCGAGATCCAGAGCGCCATCCGGCTCGTCCTGTCCTGGTCCCTGTCCGAGAGCTGTGTCTCCGCTTCAGTGAAAGCCCTGTCTCTCTACAACATGAGCGCTGGGGACAGGCTGCGGAAAAGCAAGAGTTCCAGGTACCTCCTGCAGATTTTTCTTTTTGTGTGTGTACTTGTTTCAAAAGCGTGCACTGATCAGTCCTGCTGTAAAATAGTCGCTAAGCACAAAGTCAGTTGTCTGTACAGCCACCCCCCCCCCCCCCCCCCGCTGTTTTCAAAGCTTTGAGTGAAATGAGTTGGGTTGTAGTTTCTGGGAATTCCCAATTGAATTGGCAAACACACAGAGGCCATGAGAAAGGTGGGTGGGCAAAATGGAAATGTTGCACTGATTTGTTTCGCGAAAATCTACTTTATTCATACAATCTAAAAACACATACGGAATTGGACATTACATTTACAATTTAATTTGCTTTTTTTGTTGCAACTTTTCTCCATTGAGCATGTTGCAGTCTTGGCTGCCTCAATCTAATTGGACTACGCGTGACATTACTACATGCACTCATTGACAAGCGTAAGCCTGTAGTAGTGTCCCTGCCTCGGGCCAGGAGACCTGGTTCAAGTCTCTGCTAGAAGTGTGTCATAATGTCTCTGAGATCGTAGGAACTGCTGATGCTGGAGAATCTGAGATAACAAGGTGTAGAGCTGGATGAACACAGCAGGCCAAGCAGAATCAGAGGAGCAGGGAAGCTGACGTTTCGGGTCGAGACCCTCCTTCAGAAATGGGGAAAGCTCTTCTATCCGCCTCCCCCTCTCTCCCTATTTATTTCAGAATCCCCTCCCCCATTTCTGAAGAAGGGT